GTAAATGATTAAAACTTTATAAATCGTTTTTATTTTACTTACATACAGTTCATATCGTCTATCAATTTATATCATCTTGCCCCCCTGGCCCATTGGCTAGCGACGCTCTTGTATGCTAGTCTATTGCTTGGTGAAACCACTTATACATGCATAAAAAATATAGTATTTTTACAAGTAACGTATAAAATATTATATATTATCGAATGCAAACCCTCTTCTAGCTTTAAGAATACCTTTAAGAATAATTACGCTAAAGCTAGATTTGTTCATTGGAACAAATGATAATTATTTAAATTATTATTAAATTAAAATATTGATAAAAATTATTTCGACAGTTTTCGGACATGGACAATTCCATATAAAAAAAAGTAATATAAATGGATATTAAATGTTAGATATGAATATCACAAGATGACATTAATTGTTTAACATTTGTATCAATATAAGTACTGTTAGTGAGAAAAATTTTTTGGAGTATATAGAAACACTAATTGCAATATCTGGTATAAAACAACACACGATATACAATAAGTTCGATGATTATCGATTCAATATAAAGTATTCTTAACAATTACATTTAATTAAAAAACCTCTAATTAAATAACTTACAAAATGTTTCCATAATATCTCCATACTTTAATAGATATTTTAAGTAATTTTTAAATATATTCCCTATTAAATATTCAAACTAATTAAAATAAATCTAAAAGTTTTTAAGAATGTATATTTAAATAAAACAAGTACAGTACACAGACTAACATTGCGCTGAAACTGCAAAGGTCAATATTAACATTTCATGGTCCGTTTCTTCAATTTTGCTTTTTTTATATATATAATAAATACTTGACCATCGTGAGAACGTAAACATCTGGTTCGAACATTTTTATTTTTTTAAGCAGCATCATATAAAAAGCGTGTAGATTTATATGACCTGTAATGACCTTTTCACAATTTAGAATACAGTACATGAATTTTCTTATAATGCGTATGTTGTTACTTAAAATACGTTATTAACTTATAAATTTTACACTTTGTATAATTTAAAAGTCTATATATAAAATTTCAACCTATAAGGAGAAAAAACTGTTCAAAATTTAAATTACAAATATTACTAGATCAAGATNTGAATTGCATGTTTAAAAATAAAACTATTTTAAATACAATAAAAGTATATAAAAACAATGTTAAATATGAGTTTCTAAATATCACACTACTTTGTTAACAAATAAATTTCTTTATTTAAAAGTATAATCATCTCCATAAAAAAAAAATTATTATTTTTTGTTCCAAGATGGTAGGCAATAAACTTATTTTTAAATGCTTTTCATTTTTTTTTGCTGTTTAGAATTTGAAAAACATGCTAACACTATATTCTTATTTATAAAAAAAAAATTCCAAATTTGATAATTATAACAATATCGATTCCTAACTTGTAGCAATATTTTTATAATAGATATCTTTCCAGTCACTAAACAATTCATCGAAAAATATTGAAAATTAAATTATTTTTGCACCTTTGAAATAAAGATTGCTTGTATTGGCATCTAAAAAATGAAACGCGCTTAACGACATATCACCAATGATTTGAACATGTCAAGATCTACTTGCGCGTTCTTAATGAAATTTCCAGACACTTGGTTTGAATTTTAAAATTCTGTTCTTTTGGAACATTCTGCACATTTGGTTCATTAAAATTTGTTCATTTCACCTAAGGACGATTATACACTCATTGAAAGTGCNTTTTTTTGCATATTTTATATTAATACTATGTTGCTCTATTTTCTACCTTCATTTTCATTTATCTCTGCTATTGGAGATAAGTCAAAACTTGTGTCAAAATGAAGACAAGCCATTATGGTGAACCAACATTAACCCACACACCATTTTTATAGAAAAGATATACTTAAAGTATGCAAATTTAGATCCTGAACAGCCATATACATAATCCATTAGACTGATAATTTTTAACGAACCATTTTCAACTCTTCATAATCAACTCTTGGGGTGAATATCAACCACTTTGAGGATCCCCTGCTTTAGGGCAACAACAAGTTGCCATATCTTATTCTCCTAATAGTTCCCGTAACTTTCAAACTTGATACATTCAACACTTAACATTTCTAAAACCACAATGAAATACTGGAGAAAACACTACACATATATCAAAAAAACGAAATACATATTAATAAAAGGCATGTTCCTTGGAGAGTCTCTAAGCCTACTCTAATTGGCCTTAAATCCGCTGTCCAATAGGTTAAATAACACTAAATATAGATACAAGTAACACAATAAAACAATATTTATTATCTCATCTCATATACATGTATGATATAAAACTATACACATCAACACAAGTACAGTTAAAATCATCGATTAGAAGTTACATTTATTTCACTGATATTCATATGCACTTTGCCTATACAATTGCAAAACACTTCGTTCTACTGGATTCATTTTTGCTGTGTAATGATTTTGTACTTGGAAATAAAGATTTCATTAAATCTGTGAATGCAGCCAAGGTCTACAAATATTTAGAATTCCAATAAGCCAAACACACAAAACATGCACAAATTAAAAAGACTACAACAGCAGATTAAACACAATACAAACATCATTGAATGTAACACATTTGGAGTTATACATTGGACAAACACACAGCTGGAATATCTCAAAGAAAAACATGAACAACACTAACAAAACAATCATCATCCTAAGTCCTTTTCATAAAGGCTGACAATTCCTTGTAAAGAGAGAATAAAAGGTCTCAGATATTGTAAATCTTCACTACAAACAAATGCAGATACTGCAAGAATTTTTCTACAGAAAACAAACAAACATCAAAATTACACAGAGCTGCAATTTTTGCAGACCTTACTATACATCTCAGAAAATTTCAGAAAACAACAAACATAAAATACAGTATGACCAAGCTATTGTCACAAACAAAACAATTCATCAACTGACCAGACATCACATTCATTGACAGAGAAAACAAAATCACATATATCATAGACATAGCTGTACTAAACATCCATAACATACAAAATATATGGACTGAAAAAGTTAGTAAATACTCAGAACCTGACTCACCATGAAATAAACTGTAAAAAATGGATAGGGTATTCTACCAGTAATCCTTTCTTCACAGGTGTCTTATCACATACAACAATAGTTCCAACATAGAAACATTAGGACTGCACAACAGCACATGCATCCCATAGAAAACTATTATACTAAACAGGTCACAGAAAACTCTTAAAAACACATACCTACACAAATAACACGAAAATAAATTTTTTTGTAGTTAGGTCTTGATTTTGCTCCAACATAACACTAAAAACACTGATGTGTAAACCAAGGAAGATAAAAAGTAAATTTAAAAAACTCATGCCAAGCTTTGTATAGTTTCTGAATGAAAATTCACTGAGTTCAGTGTTAAAGTTCCTTTAGCATTAACACAAGCACTTTCCAAGCACTTCCTTATACCCATCTGTACCTGTTTTTGAAGCCATAATGCTTGCCAACTCCTTGATCATCAAAAAGGAATATAACATACAACAAGTGCTAGACATAAGACATACACGATGCCCTAACTTTCATCACTGAGCACAACTATTTCCTTTTCAACAAGAGTGTCTACTTGCAGAAGCGAGGAGTTCCTATGGGCTCCCTGCTATCTGCAGTCTTGGCCTAGCTCATTATGAGAGAAATTGAGCATAGAATTTTCAATTCCCCTCTTGCCATCAGTTATCCATCTCTACATTTGCACTATGTCGATGACATTCTAATAATATGGGAGAATACAGAGGAGGAATTTATCAAATTTGTGCAGCAACTCTCAAGCATATACCCTACTATCAGTTTCACTTGGAAAAAGGAGGAGGAGGAATCAATAACGTTCCTGGATCTGTGCGTATGAAAGTTGATTGAGGGGCCCCATTTTGCGTTTCTTCCCAATTTTACGTTTTTCCGTTTTTTCTTTTTGGCGGTTGTTTTCCACCCTTGGCGTATATCAATGCCACCATTGCTGCACTCATTAGAAGGGCATTACTACTTCCGTTGACGCAGATAGCAACAAAAATCGAATTAGACATTGTCAGAGTGACAGCGTCTCATGCTGGATTCACACATGGCAAATATGAACATGTGCTCTGTAGGGTAAAAGAGTCCCTATTCCCATGTACCACGCTGTACAGAAAGAAAAAACATCCATGATCCAGTCATCATTGCCGTATCTCGGACCACCTTCTATACACATCAGCAACATATTTCGATGGCATAACTTCATTCTACCCATAACCCCCCCTACCAAACCTACGCAGGTGTATCTGTAATGATCAGGACAAGCTAACCACTTTAGAAAAATCGGGTTTATGCAATACACCTAGAAAATCTGGCAACGGGAGCTATTACAAGATACCTAGGAGCAACAACAAGAATGCTTGCCTCTCACCTTGCAGAGCATCAGGACAATGTAGCCAAAGGAAAATGTTCTACAGAGCTTGTTAAAAAAGTTCTTGAGCAAGGCTACAATCTGCTGTGGTCCAGAATGGCAATACTTAAATGCTGCAACAATCAAAGACTCGTGTTCATCTGGGAAGCGCTTCTCACAGCTACTACAGAAGCATGCAATGTTCTCACCCTCGATCTACCCAGGATGTGGATTGCCTTGTATTGGCATCTAAAAAATGAAACGCGCTTAACGACATATCACCAGTGATTTGAACATGTCAAGATCTATTTGCGCGTTCTTAATGAAATTTCCAGACACTTGGTTTGAATTTTAAAATTCTGTTCTTTTGGAACATTCTGCACATTTGGTTCATTAAAATTTGTTCATTTCACCTAAGGACGATTATACACTCATTGAAAGTGCTTGTGTTAATGCTAAAGAAACTTTATTAATGCTGAACTCCCTTGGTTTCTGGATGAAAATTCATTAAGATACCTTCCATCACCATATAGTAATGATTATTTTTTAGGATCTAAATGTATACATTTCTAATTTACTAATCACATACCTCTTTTCCTTTAGTTTCTCCTTTCTCAAACCATTCTACAGTTACACTTCTATTATCTGAATTAATACCACTAATGACAGCAGAATGAATTCGACCTAAAATGGAAACATATATTTAAAAACAACTAAATTTTTAACATTCGAATATTATAAAATAATCATAACAAATTCAATATTACTTAGCATATTGAGATCAAGATTATACATTTAAATTTGATGCATGCTAAAATAAAACAGAAATCAATAAAGCAAGTATCAATTTTAACATTATTTTTTCTGTATCATTTATTTCTACTTGACAATCTTTATTTCATTAAACTAGATAAAATAGAATAGTTGTCATTCAGTATAAAACACACACTAAATTCCAATTTCAAAGTATATGTTGTTGTAAAATTATAAATTAAAAAATAAAAATGAGAATTATGCATTTGCATATTTAAAGCATTCTGTTGTTATTTTAAACATTAAGAAAATACAGTTTTCTAAAATAAAAAGTTATTACATCAAATACTTTACACAAACACAAGAAAATCACAAGTTATAGTTTTTGACTGCATTTTTATCTGTAATTTCTTTTTTTATAACAACAAATTCTTTCTTTAAGAAATCAAACTGTCATAAAAAAAAGCATTTGCTATCTAAACATTATTTTTACAGTTAATCATTATTTGTTTATTGTATAATATATTGTATTGTGTAATAGTATGCTACCATAAATTGAAACAAGCAGAAATATTCTCAAAATTATTATGCCCATAAAAATAAATTATTTAAGATTAATTATTTTTTGCATTAATTTTCATTATTAAAAAAATATTTAGTTACTATAATAATAAATACTCATTCACAGTTTAAATGAATTTTCTTCGCTAATTCAACATCTGTATATTTAATTTAATCAGGTTAAAGACTGATTATGAATCTGGCACCATCATTTGACTATTAATATAATTTGGACTTTGTTTTCTACATAATTGTATTGATGTAAAAGAAAATCTTTTAGAGTCCATAAAAATTAAAAGTTTAAAAAATTTGTAACAAATTTAAAAGATCAGACAAAATAATGCTAAAAAGTAAAAAACAGAAAAAAACTTCTAATACTCTAACAGTCACCTATTTAAACCAGGAAGAAATTTTACATGGCAATAAACAACTTGTAAATATTTCAGCAAGTTATGATTAAATTTAATAAATTAAACTAACTTTTGAAGAATTGATATTTAAAACTTTAATTTAATTTTCATCCAATAGTATTAGTTTGAAAACTAATCAACTTACATTGAAAATTTCTGTTTAATATAANTGTTTAATTTATATTAATATGTATCACTTAAGAAAATTTTAATAAAAACATATTTATCTTAATTATGAAAATATAATAGCATGTTTTTTAATTTTTGGAACCTAACCCTCCTTTTCGTACTAGTTCTTTATTTCGTATAACATGGATTCGCATAACATGGCAATTTTTTGGAACGTAACTACCGTGTTATACGGGGGTTACCTGTAGTTAAAATATTTATAGTATGAAGAAAAAAATACTGGTTTAACTGATTCTTCAAAGATAATTTATACTAATCAAAAAGTTTGAAAATACACGGCCATAAAAATTAACACACCAAGGAGGAGGAGTCATATCGCTGCAAAAACTTGGCATGCAGCTAAATCTCAAGCAGATATGGAAATGATTAGAGTTATACAGTAATGGCTTTGCATAATGCCAGCAGAAGGCATTATATTGCATCCCCCTTGGACTATAAAAAAAGGTACAAATACATCCTGTGTGTAGTTTACTTATTGCAAAGGGATTCTGTCGCAATCAAAGACCATATAGAGTCACTCAACTCATAGAGTTTGAGAAGGGAGGATCATCGAGTTGAGAGAAGCTGGATGGTCATCTTGCCAAATAGCTCATCACATACACCGTTCTGATAACATTGTGAAGACATGATGGGACCAGTTGCACATATGGTGCCCAGGCCCAGAATGCCCTCAGAATACCACTAGCCAAAAGGACCACCTGGTTCTCCAACAAGCAGAGACACACACACACAGCCAACCATATTGTTGTCTGCTATCAGTACACAGTTGGTGCCATTGTTACAGGCATCTATGTCTGTTGTCTACCAATTCAAGTTGCTTGGTTGAAGAACATTTTGTATCATGGCAGCCATTACACGTGCTGCCATTGACAACCATCTACCATCAACTCCATTTAGACTGCTGTTGCTTCTGATGGGTTCAGACTGCAACAGAATGGAACCAGGTTGGCTATAGCGACAAATCCAGCTTCAGTTTGGGCACTGACAGCTGTGTTCATGTCTGGAGGCCCAGTGGTGAATGCTTTAATCCTGCCTACACTTCGGAGTGACATACCACCCCCACATCTGGTATGATGGTCTGGGATGCTATCACATATGACAGCTGGTTACCTCTAGTAGTGATCCAAGGGATCATGACAGCCTAGCTATATGTTAGTGACATCCTGCAGCCCTGTGTTATCTCTCATGGCAGAGCTCCCAAGAGCCATTTTCGACCACACACAGAAAGGGTTTCACTGTCACATTGCCACACTCCTCTGGCTTGCACAGTCCCTGATTTATCACTGATTGAACATGTTTGGGATCACCTGGAATGCCAAGTTACACAGCCTAGGAGTTTGGCTAAACTAGAGGACTGCTTTCAGCAACTGTGTGGACTGAAACACTACAGGACACCATATAGAACCTGTACCTCCATGTGTATTCATGCTAGATGTGGCCCAACAGAGTACTAGAACCTTCTTTCATTTGTAGTTTTTCTGCAATAAATGATCTTTTTGCTTTCAATTTGTAATCACTTAATTACATCACTGTTACACTCACATTTGAACAATTTCATTTGATTTCGACAATGCTGTCTTAGCATGCTAATTTTTATGGAAATGAGTGCATTTTCAATATTTCCCTAATCACTTTTCTATAATCACAGTAGGTACTAAATATGTTTTTAAATTATTTTAGCAATTGGAATAATTGTCTAAATTCAAAAACTACTTTTGCTAATTGTAAAATTTTAACTAGACTATTACATAAAATTAAAATTTTTTTTATTATTTTATATGTATATTATAGAATTTGTAGCCTAAATGTAGCTTTAAGGTAATTTTAATTACAAATTAAGACAAAATAATCCTTAATGTACCATTATATACTGTATTACATAAGGACCCTCTTCTTTGTAACAAATGGCAAATCATTGATAAATTTTCTATGTTCCCCAATTGTATTAAATAATATATGACTGAATTCAAGTTTTTTTAGATATCTTAATGACAAACTAAAATAACTTTGCTTTTTTGACAGTTTACCTTTCTGAATTAAAAATTTTTATCATTACTTTTTAAATAAGTATTCATAAACTGTACTCAAATGCTTAGTAATATTATTTCATATGAAATCAATTCAATATTCAAAGTACAGTACATAAGAGAGCATAATGAATTGTTTTTAATATAACTAATTGCAGTTTCAGTTTAGAGGATTCAAACATCAAAAAGGTTTGAATATTCAAAGTTTTAAATTTCATCCAAACTATCATGCAAACTTAACTTCATCACATCAAGTCATCAAGAAAATTATTCATTGTTTTTGCATGATATGATCTCAATGGTGACATGACCTTAACCATTGCCTCAGCATTCTTCCTTTCTTGTCAACAAGGAACGAGGGCTTGAAACTCCAGTATTAATCAGTCAGTTACCCTGAATGACTGGTCAATACAGAACATAGATTGTCATAGCACTAGATAAGGTAGATTCCAACTTGGAAAACTACTCACTGCAAAGAAAGCATATTCAAGAAACTTCCTCTAAAATATTTTCAAAGATCTGGTAGAATCAACCATACATGGACTATTCTTGTGAACTTTCTTAGAGCCACTGCAAACTACAGCTTTGCAAAAGCAAAAATGCTAGCAAATATGCAATGGCACACCAAATGACATCAAAGACCATACCCCTTTCTTCGCACCTGTGTGGTTATCATTTTGTCAGCATAGTGATACAAGCATATGCTCACTGTTGGCAGAATTCAACAGAGTAGTCACACTATCAAGAGAACAAGGCAAGTGCAATGTCATTTTACAGCCAAGAACTGAACAATGTAAATGCCAGTTTTAAACCAGTTAGGGACTTGTGTTGGAACAAACCTAATATTTGCAAAATACTCTCAAATATTTTTATAAATTTATTTTGTTTCATCATAATTTCCCAATTTTTATGAAAACTGAACAAATTAACAATTAATCCAGACCATGAATTTAAAAACAGACTTGTCTGGGTGAAAACCAGCCTGGTGATAACACTAGTCACTAATCTCCCATGATGCAGCACTTTTAGGTGAGCAAATGCTGTGTAGATTGCAGCTGCTTCATGCCCAAATAGCTTACCTAGCAAAAATGGCTTGTAGCATCAGGAAAGAAGATGGAGCTTCTCTATATATGACTCAATTATTTACAAATTGACATCTATTGTATTCTCTCTCTCTGTGGATTAGATCCCTAAGGGCCTTATATAATTATATATATATATATATATATATAATATAAGGCTCTTAGTTTTACAGAATATATAACTATGTAAAACTATGTAATGGATAAAATCATTAATTTATCATAATAAGAATGTCATTTTCCACCAGACCAATTGGCATTTACCTTTAATGCAAGGTATGTCATCATTAAATGTTGGGGTTTGCTTAGGTCAACCAATTGGACCTGACACACCTAAATTAAAAAGTAGCAGACCTCTAAATTGGTTATTTTATGTCAAATCTCACATTAGTTGCTGCATTATTAAATGCTCAACTCAGGACATAACTGATAACATAAGGTATTTAATCATAAAACAATTATAAATTTATAGCATTACTGCTTAATAAATAGCCACTACAAGATGTTAGTTTTATCCTAGTGGTGACTTATAACAAAAATTTCATTCAGTTCGAAACAATCTTTAATTTTACTGAAACAATATATTATAAACTCACATGTTAATAGAGTATACAGCTATCCAATCAATACATTTTTGATTGGTATCATTTGCTTATAAACAA